GACCAAGAACCCATGTGTCACACTTTGATTTCGTTTTTGATTGAGTTTCTAAGTTTAATTTCATATTTCATTTAGGGTCATTAACCCTTATTACAAAAGTAATATAATTAAAATAATTTTACATCCCACATCCTTTGGTCAATAAATAGCATGGTTTGTAAGTGAGGCCTATATAAAGAGAAGACTTTTTTTTTTTTGAACAGGCAAGAGAAATATATATATATATAAAAAAGCAAAGCACACCTAGCAAGGAGCTAGGAGTAAAAGTACAAAACAAGAGCACAAAAACTAAATGAAAGTTACAATGATTTGAACGGGAGGATATTCCAATCCGTCCAGTTTAGGCCTCTTTTACCACCTCTATGTTTAACCCAAAGAAATGTCGTTGATTTGACAATGTCCGCTACTTTCGTAGCACATAACCGTTTATTAGCAAATATTCGTTCGTTTCTTGCTTTCCAGATACTCCATAAGGTCGCGTAACAAATGCTCAGCAGCCTTTTCTTCTTCTTGGGACAGGTTCCCCAATTGGAAGCATAATCGAGAATGTCGTGCACCGTTTGGAAGCTTATTAATGGAACATTACACCAATTGAAAATCCATTATGTGAAAGTTTTAGCAAAAACACATTGCACTAGGATGTGATCAGTTGTTTCGTCCATTGAGTTACATTGACAGTAGGTGGTGGTTGGCAAGTGTATGCCCCTACTCGATAGTGTTGTCGTTGTGGATATACGACCCCGTTTCGCCCTCCAGATAAAACACGAGACCTTTAGAGGTATCTCTTTGATCCAAATGAAGCTGTCAATAACTACTTGTCCATTATCTTCCAGGATGTGGCGAAGAGCACTAACCTTGTATTTTCCATCCCCGGTAATTTCGCACCTCCATGAAATGTCGTTTCCTCCCTGATGCTTTTTGATAATATTGTCGTGTGGAATGCCCCTTTTTTCTAGTACACGTTTGATTCCTGCTATATTGTTCCATACCCCGGTCATTGACTTCATAGAGTAATAATCATCCCCTTTATTATGCAGTTTGTGAACCCCTGTAATGACTTTTGCCCATAATGTGGATGATTCCGACCTTAGGCGCCACAGCCATTTCACCAAGAGTGAGATGTTTATGGATTTTAAGGATCCAACTCCTAGTCCCCCCTTATCTTTGTCCGCAATAACCTTCTCCCATGATATCCAGTGTATCGTCTTTTTGTCCTCTGACCCGCCCCAGAGAAATCTCCTTCTGATTTTTTCCAATTTATCCAAAACGTCATTGGGTGCAGCAAATAGAGACATATAGTAGTTCGGTAAGTGACCTAGTACTGATTTGACTAGTGTCAGTCGTCCACCAAACGACAATGTCTTCGATTTCCAAGCTGAGAGTTTTTTCTAGAATCTTTCAATTATGGGAGTCCAATGTTTTGTGAGCTTCATGTTGGCTCCCACGGGGACACCAAGATATGTGAAAGGTAACATGGCGGGTTCGCACCCAAGGAGGCGGGACCAACGGGTAACTTCTTGTATATCTGAACCAACTCCAAAGACTTTGGATTTGTTAAAATTGACTTTAAGTCCCGAAGCCGCTTGAAAGCAACGGAAGATTTGTGATAAGTTTTGATGGTATTTTTTGACCATTCCCCCACAAACAAAGCGTCATCATCATATAGAAGATGTGAAATTAAAGGTCCTCCATGTGGTAATTGCAGGCCTTGAAAGACCCCCGCTTCACATGCGGCCTCCATTGCCACACTAAGTCCTTCCATGGCAACGATAAAGAGGAAAGGGGAGAGGGGATCCCCCTGTCGGACGCCTTTCGAGGTCTTGAATTCATCAGTTGGATTCCCGTTGATTATAATATGCATGAGTCGATTGTAGACAACCCATCATCCATAAACGCCATTTTTCACCAAAGCTCATTTGCGATAGATTGCTGTCCAAAAATTCCCAATTAATGGAATCAAATGCCTTGTCAAAGTCCACCTTGAAGAGTAGAATTTTCTTTTTTCTTTTTTTTGCCTAAGAGCACAACTCATTAACAACTAATGGTCCATCCAGTATACTTCTGCCCTCCACATATGCTGATTGCACTTCATTGATACAATGCCCCATTACTTTCTTGATACGTAAAGAAAGAATTTTGGCTATAATTTTATAAATGGACCCGATGAGACTGATTGGGCGATAATCGTTTAGCTTGAGTGGATCTTTTATTTTGGGGATTAAGGAAATGAACGATGCAGTGCACGACTTATCAAGTCGTCCATACCGTTCAAAGTGTTTTACCACCGCTGCAATATCGCCTAGTAACACTTCCCAGTAAGTCTTAATGAACTTGAAAGTCATTCCATCTGGGCCTGGCAATTTTTCATTGCCGCAAGCCCATACTGCAGCTTTTATTTCTTCTAGAGAGAATGAAACTTCTAAATTTAATCTATCAGATTCAGATAGTCTTTTGAACAGGGGGCTTCTGAATTTCGGTCTTTGTAGCCATTGTTCCTTGAACTTTTCTTGAAAGAAAAGTAAAGTTTCAGCTTTTATTTTTTTGGGGTCCGTGCACCACTCCCCGTTTATCATAAGACCGTTTATGCGATTCCTTCGAGTATTACTGTAAGCGTAGCCATGAAAGAATCTCGTGTTTTCGTCTCCATCTATCGCCCATTTGATTTTTGATTTTTGTTTAGCATCCATGACCGCTAGTTTTTCTTTTTCCGCAATTTCCTTGTATCCATTTCTTCTAGTTTCAATCTCCATTTCAGTTAACAATCCAGTTTCCGCCTCCTTAACTAGTCCTTTCACCAGCTTCTGAATTCTCAAAGTTTCATCTTCTGCTTTTTTAGAGTCTAATGTGTGCCAGCGTTTCAACTCTTCTTTGACGTGTTTGAATTTTGCAGCTAAGTATTGGTCCGGTTTACCATAGCCTTTGAAGTTATTCCATGCCTTAATAAATGCATTCTCAAAGCCATCTCTTAGCAACCAAGAGTTGAAGAGTTTGAAGGGAGGTGGTCCAAAATCACACCAGATGGATGAGAGTAGTATGGGACAATAGTCTGATAGTTTCCTTGGAAGTGCAGTGACAGAGGCCGAGGGGATAAGATCAAGAAAGTCTTGACAAACAAGAAATCTGTCGAGCTTACTAAGTTTCAAGTCATTATTGCAGAAGCAGGTGAATCGGTGACCCCCCATTTTTATATCAATGAGTCATGTTTCGTGAATGAAGCGATTGAAATGTGTAGCAGATCTTGAGCAAAACACCGAGTTGAATCTTTCTTCCGATCTTCGAACCACATTAAAATCACCCATCATTACCCAAATCCCGTCTTTCTCCCTTCTGATGTTTAACAATTCTTCCCAGAGTGCTTTTTTATCAGAGATTCGCTGTGGCCCATAGATGTTTGCAAAAATGAATGGTGATTCAAACCCCGACCATTTACCAATGTTTATGAGGTAGTTTTTAGAGGTGATGACCTCAGTTGATGTGAATACACGATTATCCCAAATATTCAATAAACCACCAGATCGCCCTGTTGAATTGGTGCGTGCAGCCTCGAAATCATTTGACCCCCAACAAGCTTGCACATCAATAGTTTCCGCATCCGATATTTGAGTTTCCTGAATTGCAAAGAATGAAATCTTGTGTTTCGCCTTCAAATTCCTTATCCATTTCACCTTGTGTGCTTCCCCCATCCCACATATATTTAAAGACAAAAAATTCATTGGACCACATTATGCTCACCTGTTTCTCCGAGAATGTCGGCTAAGACCGGATTCGTTGCATTGACCTCAAAGCCAATCAAGTTACCGATTGCAGCTGTAACTTCCAATTCAACATTTTTTGGTTCTTGATCACTGGTTGTAATCCCTACATTGAAGTGTGTGTGGGAGGAAGGATTGGGGATTTCCTGAAAATGTATAGTATTTATTGGGTGATTTCCTAACGTCGGCGTAACAGAAAGTGGAGAGGTAGGGTGATGTTGAGTTGCTTCCTCAAGTTGGAAGGGTATACAATCGGAAAGAGGGGACCTGTGTTTTCTTTTTCGATTTAGTGTGGAATTTCTAATACCCTTGGACTGATTTTGAGTGCTAAGTGTTGGGCTTGACTGATTCGGAATATTGGTTGGAAATGGGCCAAAACACCCAGTTAGTACCAGTCCATCTAATATAATTTTGGGTCCATTAGGGTCCCCACATAATGGTGGCGTAACTGCATTCAAATTAGGCGTCGTTTCCACTACTCGCGTGCACGATTCATGACGTGGCCTGATTGATTCCGATACCTCGGGAAGAGGCTGTAATGAAGAAGCCTGAGCCGTGGATTTTGAGTCAGAATCTGGTACCGGAGCTGCATCGGTGGTCTGCACCGGTATGGTGGCATCGTCTAGAATCTCGCCTTCTTCTGTCTCTTCCATTTGGGTGTCAGGGATACCTTCTTCGTCACTATCAATCGCCACTGTGTCGTCGTCTTCTTCTTCCCCTTGTTCCCCCTCCAGGTTAAAGTCATCATATTCCTCTGTACCAGACACATATGGTTCATCATCATCATCAAACTTGAAGGGTAACCAAGGTTCATCTTCATATTCTACAATTCCAACTGTTATTGATCCCTCCTCCAATATGGCAGTGATTTCCTCGTTTAACTTCTTTTTTGATTTAGTGAGTATGCCAAGCTTAACGCATGACAAATCCACACGTTCTTGGATGCCTTCAAATGGTGCAATGATGTTCCCAATGGGTTTGATTATCGCCCTAAAGTTTGAGTTACACCAATATTTCAATGGTAGTCCAACGACTCTAACCCAGGTTGCGCGTTCAAATTGAGAGTTCACTTGGTTTCCCCAATTTAGCCATTTCAATATAGACGCCGAGTTATTCTTGTTCATCAGAAATTCTTCTGCTGCCTTGGTATCGTTGAAGCCAAGTAAGGCTCTCATTCCCCCCGGATACTTTACATCGGCTACCTTATCACTGTGTATGGATAATAATGCTGGTAGATGGCCAAGGTGGTCAATTGAGAGAGCTTCCCCAATAAGCGTGTTTTTTTGAATCCATCTTTTGATCTATGTTCAATCTGACCGGGAGTGTTTCTTCAACATGGTTATTATTCTTGGGGAGACCATTCAGTTTCTGGTTGTTTGTACCTGTGACTTCTGCGTATGTTCTTCTTCCCACAAAAGCAGGAGCTGCAGCTGCCGATGAAGAATGCCCGCGACCTTGACGGGAAGTGGGGAGTGTGGTTTTGTTAACCTGGTAGTTTGAGGGGCGGCGTTCCATTCTACTGTGTCTTGCTATGTTGACTTCCTGGGTGTTGCTTCTACACTTTGTTCCATTTAGTTTGGTTTCTAAATCTTTGATATCATGTACGCCGGTGAACCTGATGAACCCGTAATTCTTCCCGTTTTTGCCTTTTCTGCCTCCAAAGTATATGTCAGTTATCGTTCCGAAACGAGAAAAGGTCTTCCTAAACTCCTCCTTGGTTGCTCCGTTTGGTATGTTCGATACAAAGTAGCTTGTTTCATCATTCTTTGCTTCTCTGCTAACCGGGGCTTTCCTCCGACGCACATGCGTCCATCCATCTTCCTTTGAGAGCATTTCCACAAGCATATCAAATATAATAAGACTATATTGTATATTTTGATAATTTAATGAATGTTTTATTAAATACAATTATTTTTAAGAGTTAAGCCGGACCTTGTTTGACCGTTTATACTATAATACAATAATACCAAGTTTGTATTTTGGTAGTCGAGACCCGTTCAAGATCACAGGCCCACTTTTATGTAATCGTACGAAAATTAGATTATTTGGGCCAAATATTCTGGGCTATCTATGTATCTTTGGTAAATTGGTTTTTAGCTTCTATAGAGTCTGAAAACATTACCCAAGTCTGAACTAGTAAATAGAAAACAATTCTACTACATCAATAAAAAACAAGCATTATCAGCAATAAAGTTAAGAAATATTCAAGCAACGTAATTAACAAAATTTAAGAGCCGATAACAGTAAATCTGTATAAGAACTGATTTGATTTCAAATAACTTTTATTATGTAAAAATGTAAAATTCATTTGACGATTTAAAACTTGAAATAGTTTCATTGTCTTTTTTTTCTTTTTTTCAATTTTTTTTCTTGATTTTTCGAAGGAGGAAAAGGTTTTGGAGAATTTTATAATGATAAAATGTATATTAGGACATCTCTAACTGTTTGTCTTATATCATATTTTCATAATTTTTATTTATCAAAAAATATTGTTATAAACTCTCTTTAATGGTTTAAGATTTTCCCGTATATTATTCAATCTTTTTTAATATGAATTTTTAATTTTTAAATGTATGTCATATTGAAAATAATATTAGTTGATATTAATAAGATGAAATAATATATTAAGTCAATATCTTTTAATTATTTTAGTATTTGTATCGTTTTGAAAATTTTAATGTTATTTTGTATGATATAGATTTCGATAAAGTATATTCAAATCAAATTTGTATATTAAATTAAATAAATTAAGCAATAAATAAATAAATAATAATATCTGAATATAATTAAAATATAAATAAAATGTTCTAAAATATAACGAGGAAAGTAGATAAAACTTAAAAATATTAAAAAGTTGAAAATTACCAAAAGAAAAATATAATTGGTTTCCTATAGAAAATTTCAGACTTCAATAAGACAATAACTATTTAAAAGCTAACTTAAATAGTAAAATGTTTACCAAACCACCATTAAAGATGGGTATATATTTTTTATAATTTTCAAATATTTACACATCAAATCTAAAATCGTAAAATGATTACAATTATCTAATACTTACACAACAAATATAACTTCGTAAGCTAATAGAATTTTCTATTTTCTCCTCATTTTTTAAGATACAAACATAAAAAAAGAGAAAACATCAGAAAAGGTCCATTTTAATTATATATTTCTATCAAAGTTTCAATATAAAATTGATATTTTTCTAAAAAAATGTCCATTCTAATAGGTTTCTATCTAACTTTAGTCCCTCGACCTAATTCCATATGTTAAAGTCACACCACTACACCAGCCCATTAAAGTTTAAACCCACCACCCCTCGTCTTCAACGCCGGTTCATACATGCACCTTCAAACTCCAACCTCACTGAAAAGTGAAAAGTGATAACTTCTCCAGCTCACAGTGTTAATGGCTTCTGGAAACTTTCCAATTAACACCACTACACCAATCTTTATTCATCATCTTTGTTGCGTTGATGAATGAACCCATATATGTTCATCGCTACCTGGTGGGTTTCTTCATCTCCTCTCTAATCCCCAATCTATTTAATAATAATAATAATAATGATAATATAAAACCTCATTTTCAAATTTTCATATTTTCAGAAAATAACCAACATTCGAAAATTGAGTTATTCGAAAATTGAAGAAGTCAAATGTGATCCTGGGCGATTTCTGTTTTTGGGTTTTGAAACCCATTGGGTTTAGTTTTCGTATTCATGAGTAGGTTTCTTCGGTTTTTTTGTTAGACAATCGTTGATTGGTTTTGAGTTTAAACCTTTGGGTTTTATGTTTAACCCATTTTCCAACAAATCTTTATAAATACAGAAAAATAAGAACAAACCAGATTGTAACATATGGTAAGCACTAGCTAAATCATATTATAATATTACTGTTATTATAAAAATAAAACAGTAAGCACTAAACAGGTAAACATATACTTTGTTAAACCATCATTTACAATCAATAGATTATGACTTTAAGAAACAGCATGTAAGCACTAAACAGCAGGTGTGTATATATTATATATATATATAATATATATATATATATATAATATATATATATATATATATATATATATATATATATATATATATATATATATATATGACTTTAAAAAACAGCATGTAAGCACTAAACAAAATATATATATATATATATATATATATATATATATATATATATATGGGATAGTGAATATGAAGCTGTTATATACTTAAGCTTAGGTGTGGAACCTATCAATACTAAGTCATTTCTTTTTCTTTTGTTCTAAAAAATCATAAAAATTGGACTTCATCTCCTTGTGATATTCGTTTTTTTATTTGACAAAATTTGATCATCATTATTCTTTGCTTATCAACATCATCTATCTCGTGTCGTTCGATTTTTTTATTATTATCCACGTATCCTTACAAAGCAAAATCCAACAACAATAAATATGTTTAGCAGTTAATTCATCAAAAAACGGAACTCGTATTCACACACGAATGAAATCCTATAACATGCGGTAAAGGTAAATTGGTTAGTGTATATTAAATTCAATTTATAATACATGTCTTCTTTGAAATAGCGTGCAATTTATAATACATGTCTTCTTTGAAATAGCATGTTAACACGTGCCCTGTTACAATCAATTTTTTTTGCAATTGAATTGTGGAAACAATAGACTTAGTTTCTAATTTATAAGGAAAAGAATAAGACAGTGATAGAAAACAACGAATTTCCAGAAGAATTATCGGCAAGAAATTTTGAAGGACGGGAGAAGAACAGTATAATCAAAGATTAAAATGGGGAAAATTGATCAGCGATTTTGAAGTCATACTTGGAGAAGATCCTTTGATACTAAAATTAAGGAAATCATAATACTTATTTGTTAGGATTTATATCAAAACTATGTAGTTTTCATTGGTTCCACATCTAAGCTTAGGTATATAACAGCATTATATTATATATATATATATATATATATCTATATATATATATATATATATATATATATATATATATATATATAATCAAGATCAAATAAGAACGGAATTTTTGATAAAAATGTAAGAAGGAAATTTTTGATAAAAGGGGCTTAGGGTTTCTATTTTTCTATATTTTATTTTTTCAATAAAAAGAATACTTTGTATATATCTTTTTTAAACATCAAAATATTGTATTTATCCAATCTAATTTCTAAATATCATATTTACCATTCATAAACTTTCAAAATATCATATTTGCTCAAATCTTTTTTTCGAACATTTTTTAATCATTTTAAATCCTTAGTTTTATCAATTGACTATTATATCCTTGTATAAATTCAAGTTTAAATATCATCTATACCTTTAATAATCTTTCAGAATATCACATTTACCCAAATGATGACATTCATTGCAATACCAAACCACAACTACTACTTATCAAGCAACACATTCAACATTATGAAACAAAACAATGATTCATAGTTGCTCAAGTATAAACATTATTTTATAAAACAAAACTTTGGAGAGATAGGAGAGATAAAAGTGGTGTGAAGATTTAATTTCTGAATGGGTTTTACAATGCCAATACGAGAGCGGGTAGCCATAATATGAGTTCGGTTATGACGAATGTCGTTGTTTTAAGCCGAGGTCTCAACGTAAGGGGAGGGTTCTCGGTTTGGGAAGTAGATGGAGATGAGTGAGGAGGTTCCGAGGGGGGGAGTCGAGGAGGTTGGGTTGGGAGCGGTGGTATCGGTATGAGGAAAAAAAGTGAGAGCATCGATATGGAAAAGGATCGGAGATGTCATCTAGAAAGGACTAGGAGGGAGATTCATTTGGCGATACAAATTTGAAAGGAAAGATAGTTTCATAAATGTGACATGGAGAGAGATGATAATGGTGCGAGTGTAACACCCTGTTTCGAGTCGTTTCATAATTCAGGTTCGTGACCTGAAGATCAATTATTATAAGGCTTCGGGCTTTGGGGAAAGAGAGGTTTAGACCCATTTGGATGTGGGTAATGTAGATTATATGATCCAAGATTTCGGTTTGTGCCTTGGAGCCCAAGGTTATAATGGTAAAAGTGATGGTTCGGTCCTTGCATGAATTAAAAATTTTGGTTCGAGGTGTTTTAAGTCAAAATTAATTATATATGGTTGTAGAGCTCCTCAATACCTTTTCGTGGATATAAGGATCACCGAAAACAGAGTTGGGACGCAGAAGTTATGGCCTTCAGAAGTTGGAATGGTTAAGGGCTTGCCGAGTACATTGGGCGTAATTGGCTGGAGTGATCGCGAAGGTTCCTTCGCGTACACTGGGAGTACCAGATGTACTTTGGACGTACGCGACCTAGACTCAAACCCTAATTTAGGGTCTTGGACCCTATTTAAAGCCCTTACTCATTTCCAAACCTCCTTATCTTCAGTCTCCATCCCCTATAACACTAGATCCGAAATCCTATCCCTCATTTGGATAGATTTTGAACATTGGAGTGATTTTGGTGAATTGTTGGTGCCTTTGGAAGAAGAAGAACTCCTTGGAAAAGTGTTGGTTGTCTTGGAGCGTGGAGATCCAGGCCTTGTTCATCTTGATCTAGCTTTTGGAGGTATAAAGTTTTAATCTTGATGGATTTCTCATGTAAGATATAGGTTGGGGTTGTGATTTGTTATGTTTTGGTCCCATGATTGTGGTTCTTATGAGTAGAAGTTACTCCAGAACCTTTAAGCCTCATATTTGGTCCTTGTTGAGGTCATTATGTCATAAAAATAGGATCTTGAGGAGTATTATCCTTTCATGCAAGAACTAGTGACCTTTTGATGAAGTTATGAAGCTTGGGTTTTGGTTTGGACCCCATTAAGCCATG